GAAGAAAATTGATGGATAGGTAAAATAGAGAACAACACACTTTTCCAAAAAAGTGGGGACACTAAACATAAATCTGGAATAACAGGACTGATCCAGAGAAAATGTGATATCTGAGGCCTGTTGCACAAAACTATTTAAGTTTTTACTCTGAGTATGCTTGGTTTTTGTAAACCGTGAGTTTTTGAGCACGAGAAGCCAGGGTTGCTTTTACTTAGGTTTTGGTTGCTTGCATTGTTCTGAATTGAGTTTAATTCCAAAACTAACCAATCTAAAATCTAAAACCAAAACTAACCAATCTGACATGTATGTGTGTGTGTGTGTGTGTGTGTGTGTGATGTGTGTGTGTGTGTGATGTGTGTGTGTCTGTGTGTCGCGCGAGTGTGTTTTACCATCTCCACCACTTCCACCGCAGCGTCGATGCGCAGGTGATAGAGGAACGTTGCCAGATCCTTCTTCATCTGGATGGAGTTATCCTCCATCTGAGCCACCGTGAAGATCCGCAGAGCACACTTACGCCACACCTGACACACACACACACACACACATGAACAGCGAGATATACACAAACACATACACATCAACAGCAAGATACACACGCACACACACACACTGTCTCTCAGACCTTGTGCTGGCGCAGCAGGAAGGGCAGCAGCATCAGCATTCCTCCATCATGGACGATCCACCAGATGTCGATGAAGCCCTCAGTGCAGGCCTCGCTGTTACTGGGGAATAGAGAGATGTTCTTCAGCACCAGCAGAGCCAGGTGAGCCGTGGTGGTGACCCGCACCGTGTCTGAACAACAGAGAGAGAGTGTGTTAGACATGAGAACACTGTACACACGGCTCACATCAAGTAAACACTGACAAACACCTCAGGAAGGGATGAAGCACATCTAGAAGGGTGTCTGGAATACGCTTACTTCACGCGGTGGGAAGAAACCCGGACGTATAGGATCAGCACTGTAAACATGCTGTGGACTACAAACCTCCAGCTGTTGCCGCAATCTCTAAGTGCAGATGTGGTGTAAACATCACTTTAATATCATTCAGCTCAGTTTAATTTGAATATTTAAAAGCAGATTAGGCATCAAACAACATCACAGTCTCTGTAAGAGTGACATGCTCAAGTGTCCTCCTTGGCTTCAGTTCATGGCAGCAGGTTAACACAGTGGGGACGCTTCCCTGCTCCAGCCTATGTAACCCGGTGAGTGATAAAACACTGTGCAGCACACCCTCGTGTTGTCTGTAGGGATGCTCACAATTATCCGATAACCTAAAGGGTGCATTTTTAATCGATTAATCTATCAGTTTAACGATAAAAACATATATATTTATTAGTGCTTTCAATCGATTAAAAAAAATTAACTATTTAATCGCACCTTTTTAAAAAAAATTTATCGCGATTAATCGCATTTAAAATACTGAAACTTGTCATTTTGGCTGTTCAAATGTAAAATTAATGTAAACGCAAGACAAAAACTATTTAACTTCAAAATATAATTGTTTATTAGAATTAAAATTCAAAATATAATTGTTTATTAGAATTAAAATTCAAAATATAATTGTTTAATAGAATTTTTGTTTAACTTGTAACACAGATTTCTTCATGTAAACAACAAACCCACAATAAACCATCAAGATCCTGGCTTGACAGCCATGTTTATTACAGAAATTAAAACACAGGCATGTTAATGACATTTAGATTTCAAAACAATCAATGCCAATAAAGAAAACCATTCCATGTTGGATTCTACGGAACCCCGGAAGGGACGTAGTGAAGGAGAAAAAAATTGGCTGGGTGAAAAAAAAAAAAAAATGGGTGGGAGGAAAATATATATTTCTAAGTTTTTGCGTTATCTCGCAAAGTTGTTTTGCGTTCTCTCGCAAAACTGTTTCTCCACAAACACTTCCTGTTCACTTCACTCACGTAAACCCTCCCGTTTTTGCCGAAATTCTCCCGTATTTTACCATTCTACCCCACTTTCTTTACATTACTGTGCGTCGATCGTCGACTTTCATATGCTACCTCTGAACCAGTGAATGCATGTATAAGCGCTGACTGACAGACGCGCTCCATACAATTAACTGATCCCAGAATCAGCGTCTG